TCCTGCTCAATCGCCGCTCTCTTACCCTTCGTGGCGTCCTTCTTACCTGCGAGCTCTCGCTCGAGCTTCTTCACTTCATCACGGGCCTTCAACAACTTGGCCTTTAGGCCCTCCTTCGTAGGGCACTCCTCCATGGACCCTTCAGATTCGTCTTCCGAGCCTTCCTCACCTGGGCTAGCCCAGGGTGAAACTGCCTTTGCTTCAACAGGCTTCGGTGCCATCCCCCTCTTCTCCAGGTAATCATGGAAGGACTTCGACATCTCCTTCTCATGCGCCCAGGCCGGTACCCCGCCGTCGATCTCCTTCTGGGTGAGCACCCGGAACTTCTCCACATGGATGGAAGCACCTCGACGAGTGACCTTGCAGTCATGGGATGATTCCTCGCAGAAGTGATAAGCACATTTGGATGCGAGCTTCTTGTCACCTCCCTTCGCTTTCCACCACTGCATGTGGGCGTCACTGGCCCCGATGAACTTTGCGGTCACCCAGTGCCCCTCGTCGTCCGTTGACAGGGCAGCAGCTATCTCCAGGAGGATCGTACCTCGGGCATGGCTATCACCATCCCGGACAGCACCTTCCACCAACTGCCCTGTCTCAAATCTGTGAGCCATCCATCTTTCTCTGTCCACACCCCCCGCCACCCACATTGGGGCGACGGGGGTAAATCAGTTGCTCTCAGCCCAAACAGCTTCGAAGAGTGCGAGGACATATCTTCGTAGTCCTACTAAGTAGAATCATCACTCAATGCAATATATCTCAATTAAAATATCGTATTTTAAAGTTCGATGCTCGCATTTCGCATTCAATGTTCGAATATCGAATTTCGAATTGCGTGCCTTAAATCGCGATTTTCGCATCTCAAATTCTGCATTTCAAATTTCGCATCTCGAATATAAGAATTCGGATCTTAATACCAAAGCTCGAATCTCGAATTTCCAAAATCGAAATTCCCATTTCGCATCTCGAATTTCAATTACCGAATCTCGGATCTTAAATTCCGAATCTCGCATTTCGATTCTCGGATCTCAAATCTCGGAATTTCGTTCTCGAAGCTCGCATAAGGCATAACTTGCAAATATCGGATCGTAAAGCCTTTCCAAAAAGAATTATTCATTTTTGGGTCAAAATGGAGCCGTAAGAATAAAATAAACAATTGCAAAATAAGCATGATTTTTCGACGAATAACATAATCCAATTCTCGAATTTCAAACAATTTGCGAATATCGAATCATATTAAGATCCCAAAAATATTATATAAATATATATCGAAATAATCATTTAAAAATAAATGCGCCAAAACGAAGAAAGGTAATAATAAAAAATATACCAAATAATTTATTTATTTCGATAAATTAATAAAATATTTCAAAATAAAAAACAAAATAATTCAAATATCTAGAAATTATAAATTTCAATGTTCCAAAATAATCTAGTTATTTCCAATAATTTTTATTAAACCTAAGATATAAAATTATCAAAGAAAAATAAACCGCTAAAAAATTTCAAAATAATAAAATATTCCTATAAAATATTAATTTCGTCGAATTACGTATGTATGTCTTATTATAATATCAAATAATATTATAAATAGCAATTTCAAAAAATATAAAAATTAAATTCAATATTCATTTGTTTTATTCTTTAATATTGTTTTAATTTAATTTCTTCCAATAATATTCGTTTTTAATTTAAAATAATTTATTTATAAAAAAAATATCATGTTATTCATTAACAAAATAATTTTAATTCCATAATAAAATATTTTAAAAAAATAAATATATATATATATATTGAAATATTATTAATATATATTAATATTTCAAAATTGTTGATTTTGATATTTGTGCATTATTGAGGTCGAATTGGTCAGATGGAATTGACGATTCCAAGATTTGATTCAAGGCTTGGACTCCATGTGCTCGTAGGAGGAGGTGGTGGGACTGCGGGGGCGGGAAGGGGAGGCGAGGCATCGGACGTATTTGACATGCGTAAATGAGTTGCTAGATCAACCATTGTAAGGTCGAGTCTTCCGGCATTTCTGGGAGGGTCCTTGGATGATCAGAATCGAAATACAAGTGACCTTTATGTGTTCACAGTACTTGACAATTGACTCACTTGCAAAAATTGTGCCATGTATCTTTTCTTGTTGCAAACAAGCTGCCACCAACATAGATGCAGCAGAGATGTCCTCCACGCTTTCAACCTCTGCTGACTCTGCTGGGTCTCGTAATGCTCCATCGTAGTCAAAACATAGGTCTGGCTGCAAGTACCCCCGCCCATGCTGCCACACAACCTGCTGATGAAAACCACTGCGTTGTTCTCTTTGGTCCACACCATGCAGTATCCTCATCATATGAACAGGGTTTACGTTGAACCAGTTGAAGGAATACATCCGCTCAAGCTGCTCATAGGGCAAATCATCATACCACACTCTTTCCCCAAGACCTTTGTGACTCGGATTGGAAAGAATGCGATCGAAAGCCCACAAGTATAGAAGTGAGATGATGGCCACAGCCAGGATGAACATCACCGGCTGACCAGCTCGAAATCCCCAGTGACAAACACAACCGCCCAAGATTCCAAGCGACAGTGTCATCATCTCCAATGCTGAAGTGTCAAGATTGCGCGACGTATAAAACGTTTCCTTGCTAAGGCCCAGATAGATATATTTGTTCAAGAAGTACATACCACAAACCCACATGACATCCCAAGTAAAGACCCTCCACGAGTCAAACCCGAAAATGAAAAGACACATAAAGGAAGTTGCTTCCAGCACCACGATTCCTGCATAATCATACTGCATGTACCATTCGGGTGGCTCAGCAGCACTTTCAGCCATCCACTTGCATCTTGTTTGTGTGAGTCCAGATCGATCTTGCGACAAGTGCAAGTAAAGTACTTGCACAAAGCCTTTCAGCCAATAGAAAAGATAGTACAATGGCCAAATCGCGTAGGAGATAAGCGAGCCACGCAAGAATGCCACTAGCCTAGAGGCCAGGGCAGATTCAAACTGAATTGCTGCAAGTGGTTCTTGCGGAACTGGACCTGTTGTCCAGCAGATCACGAAGAAATTGAAGCACATGTTGGTGAGCACCACAACCGCATACCATGTCAATACAAAGGTGTCAGTGTGTGTCTTCACTCTGTATCCCACCTGTTGGGAGGCAAACCAAACTAGCTGATTCAGAAGTATGTTTCCCACAGCACAGCAACAAGTGACAATGGTTGTGAGGATTTGCTCGGGGTATTGACCTTTGCCATAAACCAACTTGTACAGAAGATAGTACAGAACAAGCATCAGAACAAATGCGCTGACAATTAATGCATTTGCTGCCAGCATCTTCCTTTGTCTCACAATGAGAAAGCACTTCATCCTCAGACCGCAGAGCGTAAACGCCGAACCAATGGGCTCGAAAAGATGAGTCGCAAAATTGGTCCAGATTATGGAGGGTGGCTCACATGGCATTGGCCTCAAGTTGATGCTATGTTTCTCTTCAAATTTGTTCTCGTGCAGGCATTGCTGGACCCTCTGCAGAATCTCAACCGCTTCGCAAGGCCATTTCCATACAATGATGACTGCTCCAGAATTTGGAATCGAACGCAAGACTTCTAGGGCATGGTCAACGCCATCACTACTTTCAGGGGCCAAACCAGCCAGTTCTAGAGCAGTGGCGCGCTGTTGTTCCAGCGACGCTGGAAGAATTGCAGAGCATTCGGAGCCTGAAGAATGGCAGGATCCAGACTCATCAGAATCAGATGTTTCGCTTAGAGACCGTCTGGCAGCCACATCGATCAGGTGCTCTTCAACCAAATGCTCAATCAGCTTTGATTGATCTCTAAAGTCATACCCAATAGATACACCAATAATGTCAGGTCTCCAGTGCATATCCTCCACCTTCAAAGACCTCAATGAATGCTTCAAGTACTCCACAATGCTGCTTTGTGTTGCGGTTTGAGGAAAACCAAAGGCCATGAAGGCATAGTCAGACATCTCCGCATGTGTTCGATCAAATTCATCTCTGCGGGCACCCTGTCTGTATAAGTGATACAAGTGCAAAAGTGATATGACAATGTACAGTCGCATCAGGGCCAAGGCCCTTTCTTCCGCCAATTCGACCCATATGGATGTGGCCTCAGCACTTGAAAACTCCCTCTGGCACCAATCCTTTTCAATGTATGTCAGAAACTTTGCAGACACTCCATTTCCGATTCTGCATAAGACTGCTGTGCCCAAGAAGAGCACCATCGTGGAACGGTACAGAGTGAGCCCAACACCAGTGATGTTGACCATGTCCAAATCCAAAAAGCAGATTTTGCGCAAAGCGCTGCAGCTGAATATGTGAGCTTGCCACCGCAAAGGTTTCCAATTTCTACGCTTTTCCGGAACAGATGCATGGCAACGAGTTTGGTGCATCAGTGCGCTGCTTATCAACCTCTTGTAGGATGCACTGTGCCACCTTTCTTGTAGGTGCAGTGCTAATCCAACAATGAGAACAATTGCAATTAGCCCAACGACCCCTCCACCGATGGCATAAACAACTGTGGACAACGTGGTTGAGCTCGCAACTGCTGACCTAAACATTGCAGTCTTGTTTTGCATACAAGTATGATTGCGCACAAGCTCTTCTTGCAAAAGGCACTTTGTTCTGGCGCTTGTGCATTCTCTTCGACCCAGTATCCAGCTGATGAGAACAGCAAGGCCCATGCCAAGACTAAACCACCCTGCATGGGCACATCTTCGCAAATATTGATAGCACTCCATAGCGCAGGGCCACTGTTGACCCTACGTGAAGCTCTACAAACGGTGCATCCGTAGATCAAAGGCCACAGTTGTAAAAGGGTACATGGTACTGATATGCATTACATGAGATGGTTCAGTCCATGCTTTTGGTATGGTTCTCTTTGAGGTTCCTATTGGTACAAATTTCTGCAGTGTTACATTGTGGCCAAGTGCTGCAGGGAAATGTGATGTGAATACAGCAACTGCAACATGAAGAATAGACTCAATCTGCGGGCAACCAGGTAGCCCGGTAGCCAAAGAGCTGCAAAAGCGTTGGCCGTCATTGACTCCAGTCAACTAGTTAAACTATTTGGAGCAAAAGAATGGCAACAAGTAAAGTGCAAGCAAGCCTCTGTTGAAGTGAAACTTGCCACTCGCTCATTTGCTGGCACTTTTCGAAACAGGAGCTAAATGCATGGCATGCTTGCTGCTGTAGCCCAGATGTGAGGCTCATCATTAGGCAGAGATGCTGATTTGCTCCCAGTCAGTCTGCCAACGGTGTGCTTTATGAAAGGCCGGTCAATCAGGAGCCAGTTCATGCTCGCGAAGGCCAAAAATGCGGTAGAAAAGGCAAAACGGAAAGTGAAAAGATGTCACAAGACTCTTCGTTTGGTTTGGTTGACTAAAGCAAGACAATTGAGAACCAGCAGTGGGCAGATTACTCGGGTGTTGGTTTTCGTTCACTTCCATGGTTTCCCAAAGCAACCCCTCAGCACCTCGAAATCGGCCTGCAAAGGAGCTTTAGAAGCGGGAAGCCAACAAGACCTCAGAAGACACAAGTCCAATCATTGATAGCTTCACGGCTTGTCAAGCTTCCAGCAAAATCTCTAGCTTCAGATTCGTTCTTTTGCACATCAAAGAAGAATATTTGATCAAGCCGCGCATTCACGTTGGTAAAGAGACGTGTCCGGTAGAACTCCTGACCTGATCAGTCTCTTCAGCTATTTGAAGAAAATACAAAACAAAATGAGATCGGACTTGATGACTACAAGGTGTGATGTGTACTGTGATGGTCACTTGCCATGTCATTTCGAACAAGTCGCTGTGGGTCATCACCTGCTGTGCACTTGCTCTATCCTTCACTGCATTTCCAGACGGATCGACGTAGCACCAAGGTCGCCTGATTTCGGAGAACATAAGTCCAAACCAAAGTCCAAACTCCAAACAGGAATCATGGTGAGCAACAAAGCTTGGAACAGTTAACCAGACTCTCCTGACCCTCCGCATTCAAACAAACCCAGTAGCCTTTTCCCAGCCATTTCTGGTGGTGCTGCAGGACCTTTGGCAACATGGCCCCAGTGCTCTACCTTGGTAGCGCGCAATGTCTGTCCAACAAGAACATCCCTTTTTCCAAGCGTCAAACACAACCCAAAGCACAGCAGGGCAGCTGAGTATACTTGGAATAGTCACTCCATGGTTCTGAAACTATGTTCCGGGAACTACGGATGTTTCAGAAACTACACATGTTTCTGAAACTATGGATCGAAAACTGCCTATGTCTTGGAAACTGTTTGGAATGCTTTGGAGACTATGTATGTTTCTGAAACCATCTTTCGGAAACTCTGTGGCTTTGGGATTCATGTGAAATTCTCCAAGCCAGCAAGGGTCTAGATTCGTTAGATAATGCTGTTGGCCCCAACCCCCCAGCCGCAAGTGTCTACACGACCTTACATGCTGTTGCAATTGTGGCTTTTGACTGGCATGTAGCTTCAGAAGCGTGGTGTCTGAAGCGGGCGTGGTTTCTGAAAGGCACATAGATTCTGAAACGTAGTTCATGGTTTCTGAAACGTGGTTCCTGAAACACACGTATACTTTCTGAGACGTGGTTGCTGAAGCGCGCGCATGGTTGCTGAAACGTGGTTTCTGAAATGCAGTTTCTGAACCAGAGTTTAGTTTATTTGGAATTTGGAGTAGTTATAGTTGAGAAAAGCAGCTTTCAGGAGCACTGCAACCCTTGCCTGCAAAACATACAAAATGCATGAGCACAAACTGTGAAGAAACAAAATCGTCGCATCTCTTGTCAAACTTGTCCTCTCTCTACAACAGAAGACTTGAAGGCCTCCCCCGGCATTTTCTCGTATTCTGCCACCTGGAGAATGATCGAACTGATGACTATCTCACAGAAGTGTCTGTCTGATGTGTGCCTCCTTCAAGACTGCTAAAGCTTTTTGCCCAAAGGTGGTGTCCAGACTTTTCAATCCAAGCGCTGCTGAGACGATGCCTTGGAACTGCCATGCTAGAGTGGATTGTTCATCCTCAAAGATGCTGTCATAATGTGTGTGTGTGTGTGTTTGAGTGACTTCTATCTTGAAAACAAAAAGTTTTGCATAGAAGTCACCCAGGTAGCTCGAGCCGCCTTTCTTTTGAAGCAAGGTTATGGCCTGCAAAAGCGCACGGCAAGCAGCTAGCAGCTAGCTTGCAGCTATGTTCGAAACAAAGAATCTACTACTTTCCGAATGAGCGGTGCTAGTCTGGCCTTGAGCCTGAGATCATCTGTGTCTTGCACCTTCTGAACTGCCTTGCTCTCAGTTTGGTCTGCTCGGGTTGTCCTGCTGTCTGTCCTTACGCTTGTTGCGTTGCTGCTCTCATCTCCAGCGGGAGGTTCCTTTGTTGCGCTGATAGGAACCACGAGCTCAGGTCTTTGCTGTGCAAGCACTTCCGCTTTCTGAAATGTGGCGTTGGTCTCAGTGACCTTGTCACCTGCAGCCTCACCACCCTTCATCTTTGTCTTACCTCGGACTGCCTTCGCCTTAGCTTTGGCGGCTTTGGCCTTGGGGGCCTCAGACACAGCCTCGTCATCCTGCAACGATCTGCAAACGAAACACAACTTCACCCCTCATGTCTTTCATGTCTTGTCAAACCGAAAGCGAGAACAGTCCTCAGAAGCATTATCTGCATCACCTGGACGGTTGTGTTTCTTAAGCAGCTCCTGGCACTGACGAGTAGGAAAAACTCAGAGGCGATCAGCTCAGCTCCTATCAGCCCGACGAAAAGGCTGCAAGAATTCTCCTCCATTTCCTGGCCCTGCTTGCTCAAAATGCCCCCATCGTCTTCACCTTTGCAAGAACAGTTTTTGCAGAGCGACTTGAACACACTTCAAAGGAAGAATGTTCATTAGTCCTCTCCAATCCCGACACCCTGTATTAATCGCAAATGTAAGACAAGTCGACGTTGCAAGTCTTGTTCAACTCGTACAGCACTTCAAACCCTGCACAATAACAAACAAGCAGCTCTCGCTTTCCCAAATCTCCTCAGGAGCTAGGACCCGCGTGTCTGTGTCTTCAGCTCGGTCATTTCGGTCTTCCTCCTCCTACGGCCACAAGACCATCACTTCTTCTCGAAGTGACACAAGAACATCACTTCACTAAAGAACAGTGCGACCAAAGAAATGCAATGGAACCAATAACAGCAATTGGCCACAAAAGGCGACACACAGCCCACAGAATAGACTCGTCGATGGCATGGATGATAATGTGCATCGGCATGAGCACTTTGTACTTTGAGTCTTGAGAATCGAAACAGCACGGGGTGGCACCAGGGCTTTGATGCTGGACAGTCTAGGCAAGCGACGCATTACTAACAGTACTTATACATGCAGCAGCACCAGCAGCAGCAACAGCTGCAGCACAAGGCATACCAACACCACTTGCAATGGAGTGATCCAAATAAACTGTGTCTGAAAGAAGCAAGGAATGGATTCCCAAGTCTGAAGCCTTCCACAACTTTGACACCAGTGAACCAAAGTAGACGCAGTGCTCACGAAAGGAGACACGATCCCTTTCTTTGGCATAAATGGCTGAGAGCAAGCATTGGAGTCACAGGGAACCTTTTGGTTGTCAGAGAAAGGGGGCAACGGCCAGTCTTCCCACGATGCCCAACGAAGCTGCGGAAGACTGGTGGAAGCATTCAGGGACGCCTGAACGTGTACCTGCCGTTGGAAACCCACTACCTATAGAGCGATTCGTCCGTCTCGCTCCCTAGAACAGGAGGCTTTACGTTTCTTTAATCTACTCTACCCTCCCTAGAACTAGAGGCTTTATGTTGTTTGTCTAACTTACCTAGAGCGATTCCTCTGTCTCCCTCACTGTGTGGAACTACCTCTACTTCTACCTACCCTACTGTATTGGTTGCTTGTCAGCCCAAGATCAGACATGTGCACTCGCATGTGTGTCGAGTTTGCTTGCGTGTTTTATGCAATCAAAGATCAGACATGTGCACTTGTCTGTGTGTCGAGGTTTACTTGTGTTCTCTTTCTTTTATGCAGCTAACTTGCTAGTCATGGCCTCCAACCTGTTGCGTTGAACCCCACTAGAAGCAATGGCCTCTAACCTAAAGGCTATGACCACCAACATTTGCTGTTGAATCTGGCTGTGATCTGATTTCAACCACTGTCTTGTCTGCCACTTGCAACTAACCTACTAGTGATGGCCTTCACCCCCTTGCACCTTCCGTTTTCTTGGGACGTTTGGCATCAATCTTGCAACACGCAGCAATGGAAAAAACATTGGCCCAGAATCCAGGCATTGGGTGCAATCAGATTGAGCCTCAAGGCTATTACTATAAAGGCAAAGGAGATTCAGCGAATGCTTCAATTTCAGGGCGAAACTTCTCATGAGCACTTTAGGCAAAAGCATCAGATCGGCAAAAGAAGCTTGTCAACAACAGTGCAAGCACCCATCTCGCGCTTGTCCATTCCCTGGTAGGTTGGGAGAGGCGAGACAATTGTACGCATGGTTCCCAAGAGTGTCTCGATGCACGCTCTTTGTTGTATTTGTTTCTCTCTCAGAACGAAAAGATTGAAACTAGCAATCTAGTTGAGACAAATCAGTATATATTTGTCTTGACAACTGCGAGGAGCTCAGTGCTACCACATGGTTTGTGTGGTAGACTTGCGTCCTGCTCGTCATCTGAGAACTCTTCTGCGTCCTCGAAGTCCCAAAGACCTTCGCCTGGTTCACATGCTTTTTCCGGACGCTCTAGTCTCAACGGTGTTGGTGATTGGAATTCTTGGCTGATATTTTGACTATGATCAGGAACTCATACATATATTATATATATACACAATATATACAGTATATATGTTATACAAGGACTGTTGAAAAGCCTGCTGTATAATCACATGCAAAACAGCACTGTATGTACACTGCATGAAGGCCTTTTGCTGACTTCAGCTGCTTTAGCGTATTGGCAGTCTCTGGAACTTCTTCTACATCCTCGACTTGCTTCCGAGCCTAGGTGGGAAGGAAGGGTATATACAGTATACTGTACTCCCTGGAACAATCATGGAAGTGGAAAATGGCCAATTGGATCATCATGTTCCTCTACAAACAGGTAACTTTGCACTTTGATGATTATTTCAGGGAGTGCATCCTTTCTCAAACACTTTCATGCCAGCTGTCTTCCGAAACTCGGCAAGTGGAGTGGAGCACCACACAAACAACGCAAAAGAGAATTTGTCAAGAAGATAGCGTCAGTGAAGAAAAATCAATAAACATGATATGAAAAAAGGAAGGTAAGGCCGCCCGCTTTCTGTGAATTTTCATCAGCGGAACAACGTGTCTATTTTCTTAAGCTGGGGGGCTTTTGCCTTCTTCTGCCTCGCTTTTCTCTGGAGAGCTTCTGCCCGACGGGTATCATTACTCGCCACACCAGACAAAAAGCCTGGGCTTTCAACACTTGTCGGTATGTTCGTCTATATTGCAAATGAACACACAAGTAGAAGACAAGAGTATCTGTTCCTTGCAATCAGTTCTCTGGTTCCATCATCCATTGTTGTAGAGACAGCACAAAACAGGCAAAGGAGGCGCAGCATCCTCAGATTGACTTTTCAGTACTTGTCGCACCAAAGTGGCTACCATCATTCACGTCCAGGGCATTCAGATCCAGGGCAGCCACTGCTTCCTGAAACTGCTCAGGATGCCGTCGAACATCATGGTGCAGCTGTGCCTTCCTCAGGGCAAGTTCATAGAGTTCGGCTCAGCACTGAGCATCCCTTTTTCAGTCAGACACACTTTTGCTTTCAAGCGTTCCTCTAAGTCAAGTTTCTTGTGCCAGGGCATTCTCTCCAAGGCTTCCAGTTCTTTCAGGCACTGCCTGGGTCTTGCAAGACTTCCTCAAGCTTCACCACATGACAAAAATCTACGTCTACATCCTATAAATCATTGATGTGAGGAAAGAATACTCAAGGTGTGAAATGAAACCTTGCTTTGAATCTCTGCGTTTGACAGCACCTGCATCACTCTTGCCAAGCTGCATCGTATCCACCCCTTTAATGCTTTTCAACATGTTGAGAACCTGCATGCAAACACAGTCTATGAGCCTGTTCAAGAAAGAACGTTAAAAAGCACAAAAGGGAAAGCCGGTTTTGAGCATACAGGCATACGACACAATCCTGCTGATTGACACTGTTCAACGTCTCTGTGGGCAAGCACTTTGCATGAACAAGGCCTCTGGAATGACACCATCGCCAGAGAATCGGAAGTCACTCTGGATCTGCATGCGTATCTTTCCTTGCGGAGGAACAAGTGCTCCAAAGTTTCCAATGTATTACATCTTCAGCCAGCCTGAAGAGTCCATCCAATTTCCTGTGCGGATTGCTCGGCGCTCCAGCATGTTCTCCCAGCGGCGTTCAAGTTGTCGACGCAACTGAGCATCCCTCTTGATACCTTCCTCTCCCATGTGAGAATGCCTGAAAACACCATGATATGTGCAAGAAAGGAAGCTGAAATATGCCTGCCGTTCTCCAACAAATTCAAATGCTAAAAAAAGTGCAGGCTGATCAAGCTGTGCCACAAGACTTTTCTCTTCTTTCCTGGGAACAAGGCAGTCATAACATCTATTGTCATGGCAACTGGAAACATATGTGTGTATATGTATATATAAATTATGTGTGTATATGTTTCTTTTGGAAATCACATATATACATTTCCCAGGTTTCAAGATTAGTGGTCCTCAAAAAGTTTTTGGCCAGGTTTCGGGCACTCTTCTCAATTTCGTGGCCTGGACCTTCATCGTTCTCCTCCAGATCTGGTGTTGGGCGATCAAACGTGTACCAGGCCTCAGTGCGACCATGACAAAGGATGAATTCTTGTTTCGGCTGTTTTGCAAAACACTGTTGGTTTGTAACTAACCGGATACCGGTAAAGAACAATTAATTAGTTGATTTTACGTTCGCTGTTTCTACAAGTAAAAGCAACCAAGCCCCCCTGCGCTAACAGGTTGCAGTTCAAAGCTTCCGTCTGATTTTGTCACAAGCCTAGGTGAATTTGTGCAATAACGGCGCAAATCACTGCAACACATAGCTCGCGAGTCTAAAAGGGTTGACTCTGCAAAATTTCAAGAAAAAACTGAACAAACAAGGAGAGGTTTCAAAACACAGATTAGAATCTTAACGGACTCTGTGATGCAAAACGACATTCAATTTGTCAGCCTCTCCTTCTCACAAAACATACAAACAAATGATTCCCTCCTTGCAACAATGCCACAGCCAATGCAGGTCAGGTTTGATGTCTGCTTCACGCCCTGGACATGCAGCATCATCAATTGCCAAACCCACGAAGCCGCTCTCGCAATACACCCGGGTTTGCTCCTGCACCTTCCGAATTCGATGCTCAAACGTGGATTGGTTTCACTTGCGTTCCCAATGCATTGCAGTGCAAAATGATGCTCTCTGTACGTTTGGCATTGTCAGTGCCTTGCCAACCGACTCGCCCGAAGACAAGATTGGGAGTTTTCCTGTGCCAATGATGCAATATCTAATCATAACAACTGGAGATGATCCGCAAACCTTGTAACGCAAGTTTCTGCCTACAGACACGCCAGGCCCCAAGGGCGACAGCACCACAGCCATATCAGGCCATGGTTCTTGCCTGAAAAACCGAAGCAAAAACAACTGGGCTGCGACCAACCTTGTGCTCGACTCCAACATTATGTTTCATGCAGAATGCAAAGTGAAACCACCCCCACCTGCACCAAGAAACTCGTGGCGCTGAAACGAACGTCCATCATTTGAGACTATTCTCCCTACTGTGATGGCCAATGTCCAATATTGTGTTTGTTGCACTTGGATTGACACAGTAAGCTGCGGATTGATGTGGTGGGCTGACTTCACTGCATGCTTGGTGTTTTGAACTGGGCGAAATCGCATAATGGCACTGAAACATGTTGAAGAACAATTTGTTTTGCCTCATTCAACCGCATTTTTTAGTACTGGAGCCCCATGCAGCCTTGAGAGAATTGCAACGGTTCGCAACCAAGAACGAACACGTGACACTCAAATCTTGGTAACAAAAGTGCACATTAACTCCAACAAAATACGCGACAATGTTTCTTGCTTTCCATCATTGCCAACGGTTCCCAAAGCATTTTGCTGCATGTGAATGAGCACTGACATGTATCACAATGACAACCCACCAAACAGCATCATGTACAAATGATTTCCCTCAACATGTTGTTCTTGCACAAATCTTTCAACCCTCAAAAGTGCAGGCAGCCGGCGGACTTATTTCTTGAGCCAAAAGCGGGGTCGAACGATACGATGCGAGGTAACATCTTGTCTCCTAGACGACATGGACTCTGTACATGAAGTCTCTCAGAGGTTATGCTTCGCAGTCGTCGAGCGACCCTGTTGGACTTTCTGTCCCTTTGCTTGCATATGCTTGTAGCATAGGTCGTGGCTCACAGGCTTCGTACAGACATCACTCAGATTATCATGGGTGGATACAGCTCGTAGATCAATATCTTTGTTCTTCACCTGTTGCTGCACCCAAAGGAACCTTGTCTGTATGTGTCTCGTCTTTCCGAGACCCCTCCTTGAACACATGCCTCGCGCCGCTGACGAAGCAGATCGTACAACGACTTGAACAGGAATGTACCACTCTTGGTACAAGGCCCTGAGTCCAAGTCCTGCCTCCACCCGTGCAAAAACCTTGTGAATGAGTCTGCCGAAGCAACGCACTGTTTTGGCACAGCTTTTGACATGTTAACTTTCCAATCCATGAATTGTCCACTTCTTTGTGGCACTTGCCGCAAAAATGGCCCAGGGGCCTCGCTCACCACAAGCAGGTCGGACTGGAGACCACTAATGCCAAAAACCTGCGAAACTTGTTGATTCTACTGAAAAAACAACTCAGCGTGATTGCAGGACCCGTGCTCTCGCCAGCGCGCTCTAGAGACCGCTGACTCAAGAACAATGAAGCAGCCAAGCGGATCACGGCGCATGCGAAATCTGTCCATTGACGGCCCCCCAAAACCAAGCGCCAAAAACGCAGTGGATTCTAGAGTCGCCAAATGGGCCTCCCCAGTGCTGTGCCTGTGGCGCTCAAGACGCCGAGATTCCACTGACTGGAAGTGTCTGTCCGTGAAGGACTTGTTGCAGCTTTTGGGGACCATCCTTCATCACTCCAGGTCCTGCAATCACGCTGTGGGAGAACAGAATTGTTTGTAGAATAAAACAGTTTGCAGGACCACTTTGCCGACTTGCTTTTGGACGCTAGCGGTCTCCAGTCCGACCTGCTTGTGGTGGAAGGAGGCCCCGTGGGCCATGTTTTGGATGGCCTGCAGTTCGAACTACAAGCTGCTGAAAAACACCGGGCCAATGACGGTGACCTGGACATGGCTGCGGTGAGCGCAGGCACTACTTGCTATGGCATGCTTGACAGCGGCGCCACCTGTAGCGCAGGACCTGAGCAGTCCATCAAGCGGCGTGCGCAGGCGGTTCTCACCAAAGACTCCGCCGCTCAGATCAAGGTGGATGGTCAAAACCGACCTCGCTTCAGGTATGGATCGGGAAAGTGGGGACGAGCCCAATATCACTTGGAAATCAAGTCCAGCACCTCCGCTCGAACGTTTCAAGCTTTCGCACTCCCCGATCCGGAGGAAATCACTCAGCCCTGGTTTCAAGATCACATGCTGGTTCCGGTTTTGGTGGGAATGGATTTCATGAAGGGCAACGGCATGATAGTTGATTTTAGTGATGGCCTCGCAGTTTGCGCAGCCCTTGATGAAGACGAACCAGTTCAACTACCGCGCAATGGGAAGAGCCACTATATGATCGACCTGGTTCACTTCATCACGGGTGGCAAGACCAACTATGTGGGATCTCCTACGGTTCAGGTCATCAACCCCCTTCAAGAAGAAGATGAACCACACACCAGGTCTCGTTCGACGACGTCGCATTCGTTGCAGTACATGATGTGTCCATTGCAACTTCAATCACATGAAAGTGAGTATACAGTCATTTCACCACAAAGGAGTTCCAAGAGTCGTCATTTGTTTTGCAGCTGTGGCAACGACATGTCAATCCATCTCCACGGCAGCAAGGTCGGCTTGTGGGAAACGCACTCGCTCCCAAAAGCTCATCGACGACATCCCCTACTCGCTCTCAAGCTCATGGCGCCCAAGGCGACCGAGATCAAGGACATGGATTGGGATCGCACTGTTCCCATGGACCCTCGCGACCCCAGGAGCCTTCGCACTCAATGGCCATGCGTGGGGAACCACATTCCCATGAAGTGGCACTCCAACAAGTGGGGTCAATGGAAGCATTGCTCAAGGTGCGCTCTAGCCTGGAGTATGTCCCCAAGATCGGAGCTCCAGCCAACTCCTCATTGGTCAACCCCGGGAATGTGAAGAAGGCGCTGGAGGAACTACAACGAGATCTACCTGAACACATGGAGCCAACGAGGAGCTGGTCCGGGTCATGATCGACAAGGTCATTGCCGAAGAGCGCATGAAGACCCTCTTGGCGGAATACCAGAAGAGTTGGGACAGCGCCAAGTCCAAGGTGAACAAAGCCAAGGAGGCTCTTCGTTCAACGCCATCCCCAAAATCTTCCAAGACAGAGGGTTACGCAGAGCTAAGGTTGGCAAGTCCGTCCACTTCGACTGCCAGCTGGGAACAGGTGACGCTTCGCCCCGCTCCAGCTCAGGAACCGGACTACCTGCAGTACCTCAACGAGGACGAGAAGATGCGCCTGATGGACCTGGTTCACCAACGAGATCAACAGCAGGCCCAACAGGCCCCCTTGCCGAACGACATGGATCCGGAGAACATGGACCCGAACTACGAGGTGAACTAAAAGAAGAACAACAATGTCTCCCACTCCGGATTGGCAAGGCTGCGATGAACCTCATCCACATGCTCAATGAGGACTTCAAGAAGAACCTCGCGGAGCTGGTCTATGATGGAAAGAAGCCCTATGTCTGGGAAATGTTCTGTTCACCTAACTCCACCATCACGCACCGCTGTGAGCGTGAAGGTTTGAATGGTGTTCGTATTGGTCTCAGCACTGGCTTCGACCTCTACAAGGACCAGACCTACGAGGACCTCAAGACCGTCTTCAAGAAGCAAAAGCCTAAGAAGATTTGGGTGTCTCCAATGTGCACCTACTTCTGTGACTGGGTCGACCTGAACTACTGGTACAGGCGGGACGTTCTCAACAAGCACCTTCGTCGAGAACGAAAGATGCTCAGAAGCCTCGCGGCTTTCCTGGCATGGATTCTGATGTGTGACCCTACGGTCGAACTACATTGGGAATGGCCTCGACGTTGCCGAGGTTGGAAGGAGCCCATCGTTCACGACTTCTTCCACAAGACCCTGCCTGAACTTGGTCAAGAAGTATGGTGGTGCAGAGTTGATGGATGTAGATATGGCCTCAAAGACGACCAAGGTGGCTTCCTTCGCAAAGAGTGGCAATTCGCCACGACCTCCATCTCCTTCTACAACGAGTTCCGCAACAAGCGATGTGTTGGAAACCATGAACACCCCTGGATTCATGGTGAGACGGCCCACTACCCCATCAACCTCAGCCGTTCGATCGCTCGCAACTGGGCTAAACAACTTCTGCCTGATCGCTGGTCAAAGCTTCTTTGGACTGCCAGCGAAGTGAACCCTGCTTTCAAGAGCCTCTACGCCATTGACGATGAGTACACACCTACTGAGGTTCCAGCAGATTTTGTTCCAGGTGATGATCCACTACGACCTGCTGAAGAACTGGCTGATGATCCTCATGGAGAACAACCTGATGCTCCCGTGGCTGAACGACCTGATGATGAACCTGAACCAACACCCGAAGACAAGAAACGCTGGGAAGCTCAGCTCAGTCGCTTCCACCGTTCAGCTGGGCATCCAACGAACAGGAACATGGCTCGCATGCTTCATGACGCGCGCCTTCCCAAATGGAAGATTAAAGCAGCCATGAACTACTCCTGCCCTTACTGCCAAGAGACCAAACCAGGAGGCATGGCTTCCAAGCAGATTCCACCTGGTTCACTTCGACCTCTTCCTCAAGCTTGGGAACAAGTCGCCCTCGATGTTGGCGAATGGACCGTGCTGGATCAGGACTACAAGGTAAAGTTCCTCCTGATGACTGATGTTGCAACAAGGTTCAAAGTCACTGAACCCCTGTTCGTCTACCAGCACGGTGAGGTCAAGGTGGAAAACTCCGAGATGTGCATCAAGGCCATTACCATGAGATGGCTTCTGGACAAACCACGTCCCAAGGTTCTATGCCCCGACAATGCCAAAAGCCTCACGTCGCAGCAGTTTGTCGACTTCTTTGGCTCCGTCGGCATACAGGTGATACATCCACCAGACCGAGAACCATGGGCACATGGTGTCGCTGAGAACGCCACCAACCTGGTCAAAACCACAGCCTCAAAGCTTCAGTTCAGCATGCCCGACCAAGATCCAGCACTGACCCTGGCAAGTGCTACCAGCGCGATCAACAACACTGAGTTCAACAAAGGCTTCACTAGCTTCCAATGGGCCTTCGGACGACAGGCATCCGCCGGCGGGGGAGAGTTGAGACGCCAATTGATGTCTCCCCTGGATCGCAATGAGACAGAGCCTGCCAAACTCCTCAACCAAAGGCAACTTGCTGAAGATCGCGCCCGAAAGCAGCCGTGGTCCTCTCCAAGCCCAAGAACAGCCCCATCCGCCTACACCGATGTCACTGGCGAGGAACCAAAACAAGAAGAGACCTTGGAGCCCTACTTGCCAAAGCAGCCCAACGAGGAAACCTACCTGCCGAAGGTAC